GAAGCTCCGTCTATCATGAAGCGGCAGAATGTTGAAAGAGCCCAGTCACATAACTACAGTATGATCAACCGTCCTCCTTCCTGTACATCAGTTTGTCCATCGAATGCAGCTAAGTCTCCGATCGCCTTATCATATTTGCCGTCATCTGCCCCATATATCCAACAAAGCTCCCTTCGGCCATCAGAAGAGCACATGCAAATACAATCAACCAGTACCCTAATAGGGCCACCTTCACAGCTTGATGCAGCTGCCCAACAGCCCCTTTTGCCATTGACAACATCCATGTTTTCAAAGCCTACTTCTAAGAATGAACGTCCACTGTGCAGGCCAGAATGTAAAGCTCATTTGCTCTCAACAGATGATTACGAAATACCAATTCATGGCCAAACAGATCCACATCGTAGTATGACTTTGCTTCCTTCTGAACATAGACATCCAATGGTGAATGCTTCTCTCTATTCAGATTCACCAGGCTCTATTTTGGACATTGCTACCAGCAAACAGCAACATAAGTTTTCCACAAATTTCTATGCCCCGGTCCCTACCCTTCCATCTATTTCCCACTATCCTCATCCTCCTTCTCCATATTCATCACATTCGCCCCATCTTTCTCAACCTTCCAATTCCCCTAATTCTCCCCATCCTTCTCACTCTCCACACTCTATTCTTCCTTCTCATTCGCCTTTTTCTCAAAAGAATTACCGTGGATTGACACCGAATCAACATGGAAAATATGACAATCTTCAAACGCAGTTTTCTCAACCTCACATTTATACAGAGAAGCTGCCCCGTGACTTATGTCCAGCTAGCCGTCAGAAGCACACATTTTACTCTCAACCTCCCCATGACTACGTTACACCACCACCAGCATTACCGAATTCAGCAAAAATGGTCAAAACTTCATCGGCTTTAGAACCAATTATTCCAGTCAGCAGGAGTCTTGGTCATGTGTATGACACTCTCGAACAAAAACCAGTTTATTCCAACCTGCGAGACACCCATATCCATTCAAACAAACACTCGAGAGATCACCAGCATCCCTTCATAGAGCATAATCATGGATCAGGCCCCATTAATGGGCCAATAAATAGTGGTAGGCAAGGCTCCTTAAACGCAGATTCGGGAGTCAGATCAAATAGTCCACCACTTGACTTTGCTGAGGCAGTTACCACACTGGTTGATCAAGTCAACATGTTGGTGGAAAGGAACCGGCGGGAGCGCATACTAGGTAAGAACTATAAAAAAATGAACACTAGTTACTTTGCTAAATTAAATCTATTACTAAAGTCTTTAAAACCAAGATAATATTTTGACAAATTGGTCGTATTGTCTGAAAGAGCTAGAATTCTGGGAATTATCCTACCTACCTACTCCTCTAGGTATTACTGACAATACAATCAGGCTGCGAAGACAAGATCAAAGAACTTCTAAATCTATTATATTTCCGATTAGGTATTTTAAATTATGTAGTGAATATATATCTAGTTTAAATGCCTTTATTATGTAACAAGCAGTATAAAATTGTTTTATGCTAGTATAAATTAAAATATTGAAAAGGTTTGAGCAGTCACTGCAATTCTAAAATTCATATACATAGACGCATTCTAATTTTGTCTTAGGATCTTTATTTAGTTGCATTTGCATTCAGAAAAGTAATATGGTATCAAGCTTCCTATAAAATACTTTGTTTCACCAACATGCTAGTTTATGAGAGCCAGTAGTTATCACAAAAAGAAATCTGAATAAAATTTCTTCAAGACTTTATTATCTTTATCCTATACTAAGAAAATAAATAAATATGCATCGCGTAAAAGGAGCCTCAAATTTAACTTCTCTATTGTTCGGTAAGACTCAAATTAATGGCTTTATATGAGGCCAGAGGGGTTTTCTGAAGTGCATGATTTTATTTTTTAGGTTATAAACTTGGCCAACTCTATCGTATTTAGAGTACTAATATAGTATTTGCAGATGGAAAAGGATAAGATCAAATTACGCGGCTAAAGGGCATTTTTGTTCTAGGTTATTTGTAAATTAGTATGCAGCAATATACTCCTTCAATAATAAACCTTTATTTACTTAGTCATGGAGACTTTAGATCTACATTTTTACTAAGTGCGTGTCGTATGAGCATTGTCGCCAAAGGTCGCTTTTGTTAATTTGAGGACCCGTAGCAGACTTATCCCACACGATTCAGAGTGGGTTGCAGCTTTATCCTTGCCTATGCCCTGTTAATGCGCATAGCGTGGTTCAGGACTTGGTTGTGAGTAGCATGACGACACATGCCCACTCTGGATATGAAAACCTCGTGGAATATAAGATTAAAAAAAGTCCAATGGTATCGTGGGACCTGTTTTTATCATGGTAGAAATAGTCCGCCAGCACTTCTTAAATCAATTTAAATGACCTTGGATGACCAAGTTCTTATACAAAAATAACTTATCATTTTTAACGACAATTATATTTAACGTGATCTGTAATTTTACTTGTATTCCATAAGCTCAAGAAGGTTGCACTTACTTTTGGTTAATTTTGCATACCAGAATTAAATATTTTCGAAAATTTCCCTTTGCAAGAGTGTACCGGTTGCTAACTAAGTTAATCGTTTAACCAGCACTTAGAACTTTAATTAGTATCTAATAGTAAGTTTATTTTTAATCAACCTCCTACAAAGAAAGGATTTACAACAAAAAATAGATAGGAGGAATTTATTAGCTATGGCTGGTAATTAAACATAAAAAATAACTGCTAAGGCTCACCTTAGTAACAATATGAATGATTGCGCGATCATATAGTAATCATCTGTGAAATAATAAATTAAAATATTAGCCCTCTTTTACATTGGTGTAGCGATTCTTTATTAAATACATTAGCTTTATTATGGAAACCAATCTTCACAAAAAGGAATGTAGCATTTCTTTTGAGCAACTTGAATATTACTAAGGTCAAATAAACTTACACAATAGATCGTATATATGAATAAAAAGATTGTGTTGCCGTCTGCTCGGTCACAGTCTCCTTTAGGTTCATAGAGTTGGTTCGACCTTGTTATTGCAACTTGGTTGAAGCGTTAGGGAGACCTTTTGGAACGTACCTGGTCCCGTGTCCTCTTCCATCGTATTTGTGATTTCCAGTATTGTAAAATTGGCTGGGTACATTCCCAAACGTTTCACCAGCATCGTTTTCAACCTCATCAGTGTAAGGCGCATCGTAAGCACAGAACTACAATTTATCAAAGTGACAAGCTAATGGTCCAATACTGGGAATCACGAATACCATAGCAGAGGACACGGGACTAGGTACGTTCCAAAAGATCTCCCTGACGCTCCGACCAAGTTGTGAAAACAAGGTAAAACCAACAGCACACAATAGATGTTCAAGGGAGAAACGATTTGGTGGATTCAGTTAATGACTGTCACCTTATCTATTTAAAAAAATCCTTTTAACTATCATGATCGCCTTTTTATTTGTTTTATGTGAGCTTCTCAAATAATTAATTTAAGGTATACTGTATTAAAATACTACGAATATGTATAACTACGTTTGCTAGCGCCATATGAAGCTATCGCAAGTGCTTCTCCTGAAGTAAAGCCGAAAGCTAATGGTAGCATATTTTGAGGAAAAAGAATTTGAAAAATTTACTAATTTGTGTTTTTGACGAATAAATATTTCCCTCTTTGCCATCCTGTTTAGCTTTTATTTAAAAAGCATATATTCTGATTACTTGTCAAACCTCTAGGCAATGCCACCAGTGTATGGCATTTTTCTGTGCTTGTCATTCTAACCATAAATGCAAAAAAATAGAAATTTGTAAAAATATCGCAAACTGCTCGATAAATCAACTTCATCCATATTCAGACATCTAACCCGCAAACGGGTGATCAGATGTCAAATAAAACATTAAAAATTAATTCCACAACAGAACATGTTTAAAAGCACGAACAACACACGGTAAACTAGTTTAGAACCCAGCCTAGTTATTAGATAAAAATGAGAAGCTAACTTATTCGCCACATTCTATAGCAAAAAGATTACGCATAAGATTCAAAATTATTCCTCAGCCTGCAAAGTTTAGGCCAAGCCTCCTATCCCTCGTTCCTCGATTTGATAATAATGATATCTACATTTAAAAGTCCGCCAAAATATAATATTTCCTGTGCAA